CTCTCCCTCTCTCCCTTCCCTTTTCCCAGAATGCCTCAGCCGGCGTGGAGCGCCTCCTGCTGGGGAACAAGTGTGACATGGAGATGAAGCGCAAAGTCTCCCGGGACCAAGCCGAGAAGGTATCCGGGTGCAGTGAATCGCGGGACGGGGGGGGGGATGCGTGCATGCGCAGAGTGCAACTGGTGTTGTTGGCTTTGGCTCTCCCGCTTCATGACTTCTTTCTCGGCAGCTGTGCAGGGAACACGGGATCAAGTTCTTTGAGACCAGCGCCAAGTCCAGCTTGAACGTGGAGGAGGTGAGGGGTCTGCTTGGGCCCGGGGACCCCCTCCCCCCAAAAAAGCCACACAGAGACACACAAGCACACCCATTTGGCTTCCAGGTCCCGTTGCCCGTTGCCCCTGGGGCTGCAGGAGACGAGGCAGCCTTGGCAGGCGGGGTGGGGGACCCTGGACTTCTGCCTTCTGGGGGAGGGTGGGGGGCCCAGCCCGAGCAGGGGCTTCTCCAAGTAGTAAACAGCCGAAAACAAAATTATGGATCCCCTGGTCTGTTTATTTTTATTTATTTTTCTCTCCTCAACTTCAGGCGTTCAATACTTTGGCTCGCGACATTCTTCTCAAATCGGTCAAGAAATCGGTGAGTGCCCCGTGGGGAGTGAAAACCGCCAGTAAAATGTGACCAAATCCCTCCTCTTCCTTCCACTCCTCTTTCTGTTTTTCTTTCTGTTTCTGTTTCCTCTTCCTCCTCCTCCTCCTCCTCATTCCAGAAATGGATGGGCTTAGATTGAAAACCAAACAGAAAGAAGAAAACAGAATTATTTTTTCTTCTTCTTCTTCTTCTTCTTCTTCTTCTTCTTCTTCTTCTTCTTCTCCTCCTCCTCCTCCTCCTCCTCCTCCTCCCACCCCCTCTTACTCCTCCTTTTCCATCATCCTTCCTCCTTTTTATCCTCCTCCTCTATTCTTTCTCCTCTTCCACAACCTTCCTCGTTTTCTTTCTCGTCCTCCTCTTCCTTTTTCTCCTCCTCCTCCCACTCTTTCCCTTCCTCCATAATCATCGTCTCTCCTCCTTCCTTTTTTCTTCGCCTCCTCCTTCTCCCCTCTCTCTCCTCCTCCTCCTCTTCCTTCCCCTTCTTGGACCATCCGTGGTCAACCAGCTCCTAACTCCCCATCTCTTCTTCTTCTTCTGCTTCTTCTTCCAGGCTCAGCTCCCCAAGAGGCCTCTGGAACCGAAAGCCACACCAAAAACCAGCTCCAAGTGCTCCTTGCTGTAACCGCCAGCCAGCCCGTTTGGAAACATCCCTATCCCGGGCCGTTTGGCCCCTCTGCCTCCCCCCCAGACTCCCAGTCGTTTCGGGCTGGATCCTGGAAGGACTTGGACACCATTTCCCTGACTTCTTATTCTTCTTCATCATCGTCGTTTTCCATTTGGGGACTCTGCCTTTTAATAATAACAGATAATCAGAGTTGGAAGGGACCTTATAGGTCATCTAGTCCAACCCCCCGCCCAAGCGGGAGACCCTACACCAGGAGGAGGGAAGGAGAGTTTGGGGAGGGAGGGAGTCCCAGAGCTGAAGAGGGAGAGGTTGAAAAATTGGGGAGGGGGTGTTAATAACTGGGGATGTCAGCTTCCCCTGCCCAAATCCCTGCATTCTCCAGACATTTTGCCAGCCGATGTTTACAACTTTAAAATAGGCGAACTTCCAACTCCCAGCCTTGCTAGCTGGGGAATTCTGGGAATTGGAAGCCCACCCATCTTGAAAGTTGTTAAAATAGAATAAAAAAATACCAAGCCCTGTAGCTCCGCAGTGCCTTTAAATAGACATAGGAAAGAATCAGATTGGGAATCTCACAGCAGGAGGAGAAAAATCTTTAAAAAAATAAAAGTATATAAATATATATATATTTCTGCCTGCTGGGACTCTGCACTTTGGATGGGTGGAAACCCACAAGGAACCAGTCACATGCTGGGGGACCAATTGCCTTTTGTAAATCTGTGAAGACGATTAAATATTTGCAGGTTTTTTTCCGAAAATCCGGTGTGTTGAAAAGTCATTTTCTGGATTCCGCGAGGGGAAGGGAGCCAAAAGGGAGGGAGAAACACCTTGGGAAGGGTCTTTAATTGTTCAAATAGGAGCTTCTGTCCTGTCCCCTTGAAGAGAAAGCGTAGGACCACTCATATTCCAACCCATCTTACAGGGTTGTTGTTATGGGAAAACAGGAGGAGGGAAGAGTATTGTGTATGCTTGACATCTTGAGTTACTTAGAAAAGTAATAGGCAGGAGAAAAATAATAATAAAATGTCCATATTCATCTCTCTGTAGATGAGCTTTTAGTACATGTTGATAGATAGATATGATAGATAGATAGATAGATAGATAGATAGATAGATAGATAGATAGATAGA